CCAAAGAAATGAGTGATACCAGCACATACTAGCCTACTTGGTCCAACGTTTGAAAAATTCAGTGTTAGGAATAATCCCACTTTCCTTTAACTCCATGACTAATGTGCATTTCACTTCCAATCTGTACTTCATCTGACCTCCATTTGGACTTCAGACCTACTTCTCAGACTTGCCCTCATTTTTTTGGACATGACAAAGGTCAAATCCAGGTCATCTTTTTGCCTAATCCCATCAGACCCAAATGAACCCTTGGACAGAGGCCAGGGAGGGTGCCACACAATCAGGGTCAAACTCAGATCATTTCAGGACCAAATTGAGCCTTTGACAGTGATTAGGGAGGGTGCAACTTCCTTTTGTTATTTTTATTTCTTCCACTAAAAGCAAACCCTCTTTTTTTTGTGGGGGAAGCAACCACTCTCAACTCCAATATGGTTTTCTTAACGGATGGGCAGGATGTGGGTTGCACTTCTTTCCAAGGGCTGGAACTGCTTCCCAGGTCATCCTCCCCTTCTGATTGTTCCTGGTGGTCTCCCATCCCATCCATGCAGAGACAAAGTAGGGCAGCCCTCCTTACCTCATGATCCCTCCAGAGGAGATAGGGTGGGCACAGTCCAGGTCTCTCCTCTTAAGTTTTGCCCCCTTGTGGGTCCTCGGAAGTGTGACTTTTCTGTTACAGCCCCTGCCCCAATGGAAGATTTCCCCCTGAAGGTCCCCCTGAAGGTCCAAGGCTAATAGAGTGCTCCTGGGGCCTGGAGGGGCAGAAATGAACAAAAAATGGCCTGTTTTTCACTCATTTTTGCCCTCCCCAGCCCCCAGGAGTACTCTGGAAGCCTGCTTAAGGCTATGCATGGCCATTTTGGTGAAGGGGGTGGGGTTTCAGGAGGCCAAAAATGCTGTATTCAGTGTATAAGATGCACCCAGATTTTCACTCTCTTTTTTGAGGGGAAAAAGGTGCATCTTATACTTTGAAAAATACGGTATATACATTTTTTGTTAACATTAACAGAAAATAGAGAATGTAAATATAATTGTGATATAAATAATTCATAGTATTATGTTAGGAGCCGAGGTGGCGCAGTGGTTAAATGCAGCACTGCAGGCTTCAGCTGACTGCAGTTCTGCAGTTCGGCGGTTCAAATCTCATCGGCTCAAGGTTGACTCAGCCTTCCATCCTTCCGAGGTGGGTAAAATGAGGACCCGGATTGTTGTTGGGGGCAATATGCTGACTCTGTAAACCGCTTAGAGAGGGCTGAAAGTCCTA